TGACTGGTCGATACAATGAGTGATCTGTGTAACGGAGAATGAAAATCATATCTATATTTGGACGTTTCCTCCTGTTCCTTCAAAACCAAAATTCATATTCCAATCACTTGCTAGCAAAATTTCATCATCCTGGTTTTCAGATTGGTTTTTTTGTTCTCCAAGCTCGATCCTTTCATTAATTGTATTTTCCCACTGTTGCTCTTCTTCCATAATTAAATCTTTATCTTCAAAATTCTGATTCCTCCAATTGCTAGATTTAGCAGTCACTTCTTTATTATTACTGGACTCAGTAGTTATTTTCTTAATATTATTAGACCCAGGAGCTACTTTCTCAACATTACTAGACCTAGTAATTGCTTCATCAATATTACTTTTATTTTCATTATCATTTACTTGATAATCCAAGTCGGAGATATTAATTCATCAGAAGATTCATCATCTGATAATATAGGTGCTGCAATATATAATCGACAAATACTCTTTTGAATTTTTAATTTTGCAAGCATAAAAAATATCACTTTGAATTTTGCTCATCACAAAGACCTTATCTGGCTATAATATTAATTAGTATAGATAAAAGTAAATATAAATAATATTTATAATTAATATTTTAGTAACATGTAATTTTGAAGTATAAAAATAATTTATTAAATGTTTTGTCTAGATAAATTTGTCTACGATTGCTAAACAGTATAAATCAAACCTTAAGCTGATTCCAATAACTAGTATATAATAATTCTATAGATGACTACAAACATTCTACAGATGCAGAGTTAACACAAATACTATGAATACAAATTGCTACTTGAGCTAATTCCAGGCCTACACCTTTAGTTGATTTCCAAAAATCTACTAAATTGCCACCAAAATGCACAAATGACTCAATATCATATATATTATATTAATTCAGATAAAATAGAGATAGGTTTAGAATTAAACCATGCCTCATAATAATGCTTAAGCTATTGCCCAATATGAGTTTAGGATAAATTTGCAATTGTAGTATTGAGTTCGGTAAGTTTATATTAAGAATGTAGTGCAAAAGAAAGTAATAATAGTGGTTACTCTTATTCATTCCAACATAATTTAATTTTAATAATACTCAAACATTTTATTATATATTCAAAACAATGAAGATCTTTATATAATCAAGTAGTATCTCTTTGCAATTTGTTTAAAAAACCACAAAGAGAATATAAAAGTTCTTGTAAATTAATTAAAATTATTCAAAATTGAAATATTATCTAAAAGTTTTTGAATACTATTATGCAGTGTTGATCGATTATCTACTAGCATGGATGAAATCGAATTACATTATCACAATTTTCATTAAATTTAGCAAAAAGAATCTAATTATTAGTTTTTATATATTTTAGTTATATGTATAGTAGGTAGCAAAAGTAATGTCCGATTTGCAAATCGATATATATAGGTAAATATAGGGGCTTGATTTGCTTCAAAATTGTCGATTTTGAGGCAATTTTTTTTTGTTTTTTGCTTCTTTAATGTTGAAACTACAAAGCCAAAATAAAAAAAAAACTTTTTTATAATATACTATACACCCAAATAACAGAAACAGAAAAGGGCAAAATACTTGCTTTTATTAAAGATATGAGTACAGAGCAAGTTGCTCTCAAAATTGACCATGACAGGACTCCAGATATCTTCAATATAGATCATAACTGATTTGTATAAATTTTGGGGTTTTTGCTATTCCTAAAATTAAAAAATTTGCTAAAAATTCAATTATTACATATAAACTTTATAGTAATTTGCTAAAAATTAAATTATTATATCTATTTTTAATAAATATAATGTATTTTTGTGTGCTAAACAAAGTTTATCTAGAGTATAAAGTTAGAATTAATTAGTAAAATTTTAAGAATAATATAGTATTTTTAGTATTTTTATTAATAAAATTATACAAAATATTTAAGATTCTCAAAATTTTATTAATTAATTATAACTTTATACTCTAATAAATCTTGTTCAGCACACAAAAATACATTATATTAGCATATTTAATTTTATATTTCATGAAAATTTAAGAGAAGATGCTTAATTTTGGATATTTTGATCAAAATATCTAAAATTAAGCATCTTATCTTAAATTTTCATGAAATATAAAATTAAGGGTGCTTTTAGGCATCTCTGGCCAGAGATGCCTAGTTTATACATCTCTGGTCTTATAGCCAATCAAAATGCACGTATATCACGTGATTCACGTTTGCGTAGCACAACAGTTACACAAAGTATGATTCTCCCAGATCAGTCCGACGAAGCAAAACAACAAAAAAAACACGACAAAAATAAAAAAATATGGAAAATATTAAAAACTGCCATCTAAACCTATATTGCAGCACTAAGTAAAAATGTCGAAAAGACAATTTTACTTATAATACTCCTCTTCACAATAACCCTAACCTAAACTTTAACTCAAACCTTAGCTTGATTAAAATTATTTAACAGATATTGTTTTGACCAGAGACGTATAAGCTAGGCATCTCTGGCCAGAGATGCCTATAATTTCTCTAAAATTAAATATGCTAGTATAATGTATTTTTGTGTGTTGAACAAGGTTTATTAGAGTATAAAGTTATAATCAATTAGTAAAATTTTGAGAATTATAGCATTTTTAGTATTTTTATTCATAAAATTATATAAAATATTAAGATTCTCAAAATTTTACTAATTGATTCTATCTTTATGCTCTAAATAAACTTATTCAGTATACAAAAATACATTATACTAGCATATTTAATTTTATATTTCATGAAAATTTAAGAGAAGGTGCTTAATTTTGGATATTTTGATCAAAATATCCAAAATTAAGCAACTTTTCTTAAATTTTCAGGATATATAAAATTAAATATGCCGGTATAATGTATTTTTGTGTGCTGAACAAGGTTTATTAGAGCATAAAGTTATAATCAATTAGTAAAATTTTGAGAATTTTAATATTTTATATAATTTTATTAATAAAAATACCAAAAAATGCTATGATTCTTAAAATTTTACTAATTAATTATAACTTTATACTCTAACTAACCTTGATCAATACACAAAAATACATTATGCTAGTATATTTAAGTTTATATTTCTTGGGAATTTAAGAGAAGATGCTTAATTTTGGATATTTTAATCAAAATATCTAAAATTAAGCATCTTCTTTTAAATATTCATGAATATGCTAGCATAATGTCTTTTTATGTGTTGATCAAGGTTTGTTAGAGTATAAAGTAGAATCAATTGGTAAAATTTTGAGAATAATAGTATTTTTTAATATTTTTATTAATAAAATTATATAAAATATTAAGATGCTCAAATTTTACTAATTGATTATAACTTTATGCTCTAACAAACCTTGTTCAGCACATAAAAATATACTATAATAACATATTTAATTTTATATTTCTTGAAAATTTAAGAGAAGATGTTTAATTTTGGATATTTTGATCAAAATATCCAAAATTAAGCATCTTCTCTTAAATATTCATGAAATATAAAATTAAATATACTAAAATAATGTATTTTTGTGTGCTGAACAATGTCTATTAGAGCATATAGTTATAATCAATTAGTAAAATTCCGAGAATCATAATATTTTATATAATTTTATTAATAAAAATACTAAAAATACTATAATTTTCAATATTTTACTAATTCATTCTAACTTTATACTCTAATAAACCTTGTTTAACACACAAAAATATATTATTCCAGCATATTTAATTTTATAATTTATGAATATTTAAGAAAAAATGCTTAATTTTGGATATTTTGATCAAAATATCTAAAATTAAGCATCTTCTCTTAAATATAAAATTAAATATGCTAAAATAATGTATTTTTGTATGCTGAACAAGGTTTATTAGAGCATATTGTTATAATCAATTAGTAAAAGTTTGAGAATATTAATATTTTATATAATTTTATTAATAAAAATACTAAAAAATGATATAATTCTCAAAATTTAACTAACTAATTCTAACTTTATGTTCTATATAAACTTGTTTAGCACATAATAATACACTATAATAGCATATTTAATTTTATATTTATTGAAAATTTAAGAAAAAATGCATAATCTTAGATTTTTGATCAAAAAAATTCAAAATTAAGCATCTTCTCTTAAATTTTAAAAAATTATAGTAGTTTAAAAAATAAAGTAGCTTATTTTTAAGTATAATTTTCCAAAATATAGATAATTTACTGAAAATAAAATATAACATGTATAAAATTGATGCAATTTGCCAAAATAGTCAATTATAACCTATTCTAAAATTAACACTAATTTGCTAAAACTCAACTTTAAATATTTGACCAAATTTTTGGCAATTTGCTGAAAAAAAATATAATATATATCAGAGATGTCTGGGGTCCTGTACTATTTCACAACCTATCTCTATTTTTGTAAGATCTTCTGATGTTCTGAGTAAGCTATCTGTATAAAACAACAAATTATCAAATACTTTATTTTGATCTAAGATCTCTATTAAACTACTTCTAAGTGTTCTATTTTTGACTACTCTATTTATTAACCATATTTTCTATCTTATACAATCAATAACTGGTAATTTCTTTCTCTTAACTTCTTGTATCTTTCTCATAGTTACAATCTTTTTTTCTATATTTTTTCTATATACTAAAGATTATTTGTGGGCTACTTTTTGACTTTTGTACTATCTTCTAGTTTTCTATATTTTACTAAAATAGGTGCTTAGTTTTTGACACATTGCAAGAATTTTCATTCTATCTCTAATTGTGATCTAATTGTTTCTGTATAATTTTTTATTTCAGCATACTTTTCTTTTTTCTCTATGATTTTTTCAATTTTGATCTATGCATAATCTTTATTCTTTTACATAACCTATTCTTTAAATCTTCTATCCTCTCTAACTTTCTCTATACTTATCTTGAGTATATTTGGATTATTTGTCTCAAGCTTGTATATTGGTTTGACTTCTCTTGTTATTAAGCTATCAATTATTTCTTTTTCTAATATATAAAACTATCTTGCTTTTTTCTCTCTTAGAATAAGACTATTTATCAGCTTAATTTGTTTTCAAGTATATATTGATTTACTATCTACTATTAGGAGCCACAATGATAACCATAACTCTATTCTGCTTGCATTCGTTTCTTTATAAAAAAAACTCACACTTTTCTAAGATCTTTGCAATTTTATAATTATTAGCTATTTGAGAGAAGTTCATATTCCAATTTTTTGTAAAGTTACTTTCTTCTATTATAAAACCTAAAGATTTTGCTTGCTGCAAAAATTGCACACCAAATTTCTTACCTTTAACTTTTATTTTGTTAAAAGCTCATAATTTGTTAGAATGCATTTGTTGAGTTTGTCTTGTACTGACCATGTTTCAGCCTTATTATTGTCAATTTTTTTAAAGACCTGTCTGCATTTAGTCTTACAATAAGTTTCTAGAAAATGGTGTTTTATATATCTGTTTCAAAAACTTTTAAAGTTTACTATCTCTGGATGTTTTGT